GAAGTAAGAACCCGATATAGCATAGGGAGCGAAACTAAAGTGGAAAAGTGGGTATATTTTTGACACTCAATCCTCTCATTCACTAAAACAGTACTAATAATAATAACATCAATTATACGACCAAAGCTTTTCGAATTCTGGTGGTATGAATAAATGAGGAATGAGTATTCAAAGAACTGTCGTCGGGCAAAGTAAAAGTACCGGATTCGTCTACATCGTTTCAACTGCCACTTATTTATAAAAGCTACACAACTGGCCCACTATAGGTGCTCAGACCATCAAAAAAGAATTTGACTTTAAAATTTAACTTAAATGACAGTCTCGTTGGTGACCTTTGACACTATTTATTATTGTGTTATTTTTTCATCTGCGTTGCCATTAGTTTTCCCTGACCTCAATTGCCAAGATGAGTGCACCTTTAACATCACACATTGCGCACAAGTGACACGAATAGGAAAAGGGAAGCACAAAAGATGGTAGGTTAGGAAGAACCACTCACTTCTCCTCAACCACCCCAAAGACCTCTGTCACACATTCTCCAGCAGCAAGGTGACCAGGTACTGTGGGAAATTTCTGCAGGTTTCCAAATATTGGATCCCTCTTGGGAGACTTTAAGTCAACATTTTGGTCATCGCCTCCTGCTTTGTTTGCTCCATCGATTTCACCGCCACGAGCACCACCGCCGTTTTGAACGAACCGCGCACAGGTCCTCTCATAGTCCACATCTGCCAATGCCAAAGTGGCCAGACTAGTGGAGACTTCCAAAACGAGTTGACAAGTCGTTGAACCTTCGGCAGAAGTGGGGTTGGCGGTATTGCTGATTGACGCAGCGTTGGAGGCGACAAGAGGCCACCGAACGAGGAGAGGATAGTGCGCCAGCTTGTCCAACGCATCAGAGTCTTTCGCAGAGTAAGAGACCTTCTTAGTATCGGCATAGAGTATCTAGTTGGATTTTAAGATGAAATGGAATGAGTATGAAACAGTAGAAGTGGTGGAGGAGGCAAAAAGTGGGAAAATCTACTGTTGCGATGAGTTGGTGAGATCCTTTGGTCAACTTGAAGCGATACTTTGGATTGGAGATCTAAAAGACATTAAAATAGGATGTTAAACGTACCCACTCTTCTTCCTTGCCAGTCAAAACAAACTTTCATACCGTGAAGGAATTCTATTTATGACCTGTAGGCAAAATGCTCTAGCCAACCATACCACGCTCTCAATGTCGGATCCGAGTGCGTGACTAGTGTTTTCAACACTTAATTGCCTAGTTCGCCATAGAGATCAAGTAGAAACTGCAAAATTTACCTCTATACTGAAAATACAGAACTCAAAATGAGGTTTTTCCAATTTATTCAGGGTGTTTCACATAAAATCACTCTCTAAATCATGAGTTTTATGCCACCTTGAGAAATAACTGCTGTTACGCACCAGAATGAGGCTTTTCGTAGGCTAGTAAAGAAGACATCACTTGTTCAAGTAATGGCAGGATGCAAGTTTCATAACGAAAATAAAAGTTCGCAAATAATTTAGAGGCTAAATAACCTAGTAGTTCAGTATTCCAGTAATCAAATGACTTCTCTCACCGACTGGTAGGATCCAGCCCCTTTGAAGCGACCACAGCCGTCATAGACATGATAGACAATCTGCACAACATCCGCTTCGTAGAGCAGTGAGGTGAGACGTCGAAAATCAAAGACAGCGCTGTCAGTTTTGAAGTGCTGCGACAAAGAGATCGCATAAAGCCAAAAGTGATATATCCACTAGTGTTAAAAGAAGGACAAGAGACTTGCACAGAAAAAATTGTAGACAAGCGAAAGACAGTGAACTCCTGGAAGACCCAATGAACCCTCTTCATAAGCAACCAACTTTCGGTAGCAGCGTGAAGACGATGCTGGTCTGAAATGGGAAGGTAAAGATGATAGACATGGGACCAAACACTCACCTCGTTCCAAGCCTTGTCAAGTCAGGGCAACTTAAAACTACATCTGATTCCCTCTCATTTTTAATTTATATGTTCTACGAGCACTGTTATAAACGAGAAGTGACAGAAGGAGATTTGATGTCACTATTTGCATTGACTTCTAGTTTTTTAAACATCAGAGCCTAAAGCTGAAAGTTGTAACACTCTTGCATTTTCAATCACTCTGTGCAACATAGCATTTCTATCAAAAGCGGATAGCCCTTGGTTATTCAAAGAATCCCACGAAGCACTAGCATGCAAGCTCATCACAACAGCTTGAAATGAAGAGATTTCAACATATGTGGTTGGTGAAAATTCACAACCAAAGCTAAGCATAAGCGGCATAAAGGACTTTTCAATGTTAAAAAATGAGCAGCAAACAGAATGCCATACTTGAGTACCTAGTTTTGGTTAGACGTCATTCTAGGAAAGACGCACATGCAAACTGAAAAAAAGATTAATGGAAGAGCATCAGAGTAATCTTTATCACAAATAAGCTAGTGGAGGTGCCAGAGTGCTTGGTCTTCTAACAGACACACACACACACACACTACGCCACCAATTCTATCAACACTAAAGAATGAAATGGGTAAGCAAAATCACCTCAACAATGTGGGAAACAATTAAAACAGCACTACTTATTGTTGTCAGTGAACCTAAATGAGGATAAAGGAGAAGATTAATTAAAAATGCTAAAAGGTTGGCAAATTGTTTGGTGATAAATGACTGACAGCAAAATTCAAATCCACTACCAAGTTAAGCGCAAGCACACC